AGATCTTGTATAGTAGGGATTTTAGTAGTATTGATATTTTGAATTCTTCTAAGTCCTTCCTCTAAGGAAAAGTGTTTAGGAGTTTTAGGTAGATTGGGTAATTGCTATTTGAGTTGCCTCTTTTGAATTTCATTAGAAGCTCAAATAACTTCTAGTAATTTGGTATATATATAAATTTGCTCAAAACTAACTCCAGCTTCTGCTAACTCTCTACAAAATTATGAAACACGAGAACTGGCTACCACAATTGCTTTATCTGTATTATTTTTTAGCACAGCTAAGTCTAAAGCATGTAACCAAATATCCCACACATCTTTAGTTTTTGCACAATATTGAGCTCTTTCTTTAATAGTAAGCCTTTTCTTTTTGTTATTTGGAACCAGAGCTCCTATTTGATTTTCTTTGAACAAGTGCTAACGGAGAGCCTCTTTCACATCTTTACGAGCCTTCTAATCTAGTAGTATAGTACCAAGCTCATTAGCATGAGCACATAATTGAAGTGAGTTTAATTCAGCTAATAAGTTATATTTTTTTAGGATCTGATCCAAAATAGAGGTAAAGTTATTAGTTTTGGGTTTTTTAGTTTTTTGAACAGTTGTTATGATAGGTATGTAAATAATATATCGATAAGTAGATTGTGATTATACATTAACCTACTTATTTTTTTCAATTCGAAATTAATTACACTTTTTTCTCTTATATCCAGAAAAAAAGAGTTTATATATACCTATAGAGTAACTAGGATATCGAGATATATGATTATACTTTGTGTATAGAATCAGGTAAGTCAGGTATATGATTCTCAAGCATAACAATTTTTGCATGTAATTTAGCCTGTTTTTTTTATGATAATATTCTTTTTTTCGATATTTACTCACATGATTCGAGTATATACTATATGTAGAATATGTTAATTTACCGCATTCTTTGCAAGGAATTCAAGTTGGTGAATTCCAATGAAGTTTACACCCTTTTGGATGATAGCAACCTTGATTGCAAACTTTGCCAGTTCTAAGAATATAAGGGCAATGATAGAGTCTCATATTTATTATAATAATAATTGTATAGAATAATTAATTTCATTTTAAAGTTTTTTGGGTTAAGTATAATACTTTTAGTTTATAACTATATACTACATATACAAACTACATATATACAAATTAATAAAATGAGTTTGTCTAGTGAAGCAAAAAAATGTCTTCATAAATCGTTACAGCAACAGTGCTTAAATCAAAAGTTAGCTAAATATAATGAAGCAAAAAGGCTTTTTACAAGTTTAAGGGTAGAGGGTATGTAGATCCTTTTTTATATGAAACCTATAAAAATATTTTTTTCTTTTTATAATTACAAAAATATTTACTAAGTAAATTATATTTA